TCATGGCGGTTGAACTTCGATGGATTCGATATTTCCACTGAGCACAAAGAAAAACCTCCCCGTGGGCTCCATGACTGTCTTGAAGTTTTAGGTAATTTTTTGGCTGAATTTCAATACTCTTTTTGGAGCAGTGCAGATTCCCTTTCTTTAATTCTTTGCCCACGGTTTAGTTCAGAATACTTTTTATTTTTCTTTTTTCTTGTACTGTGTTGCGGTAAGAACATTAATTTCAGTAGTTTTTGATAGGTGTAATGATTGTGGACAGCGAAAGGGGATTATGGGACATTATTGGCTAAAAATGCAATGGAATAATTTTTTGAGTAATAAAATGGATTCCTTTTTTTTTTAATACTACAGTGGTGTAGTATATGTTCTTAACAACTTCAGATTGAAGCATCTGGATTATTAAATCGGCTTGCAAGACAAGTGGTATATTAATATACAAGATGTATTTTCTTATTAATTTATTCCTTTAATTCATTAGCTTAATCATTTTTTTTATTGAGAAAATTTGAGCACTTCTGTTAATTATTATCGCGTGGCTTCGATGTATTTCTTGCTTTCAAGACTGCTTTTAATGAAAAATTGAAAATAATATTGATTCGCAAGTACTGAATTTGAATGCTAGGTCGTAGAAAAAACTTAAGTATTACTAGCACGTAGTTTCACTGCTTTGGGTTTTTTGAACTGTATACTTTGGACAATTAATGTTTCCGTACACTTGATTTATATTTATGGGAGCCCTCTGAGCTCACTTCTTGTGTTTAGTTTTGCTAAGTTTTGGCTTTAATTTTCATTATGATGTCCTATATTTAGTGAAATTCTGTCATCATTTGATTGAAACCAAGATGAGTGGTTGATGCCCATTGACACGTTCAAGGGACTGCTTATAAGGCATTTCATTTGTTTGCCTTGATGGTACAGGTCCAGAAGATAATGTTGCAGAGTATTATCAGCAACAGGTAGAAATGCTGGAGGGGTTCAATGAAATGGATGTCCTAGCTGAGCGAGGTTCTGTACCGGGAATGTCAAAGGTTTTTACTTTACAACCTTAATTTGATTTTCTTTGTTCATTAGGTTGATGAAATCTTTTGTTAGATATCAGGCAGTGCCAGGGTTAAATACTTAGGGTGTGTTTAAGCCACATTATTTTGGAAGAATGTATTCTGGAATAATAGATTGATGGAGAATTTGTTGTTGNGGAATAATAGATTGATGGAGAATTTGTTGTTGAAAAAGAAGGAAAAGTTATTGATGTGATGTAAAATATTATTTTATTGAAGAATGTGTGGTTGAAAATGAGTAGAAGAATGAAAATGAAAATTTTAATGTGTACCAAACAGGGGCTTATTATATTATTTTTGGTTGCAGGAAGAGAGGGATATGTTGGCTAAAAGTGAAACAATTGCCATCAGGATATCAAATGTTGCAAACATGCTTCTTTTTGCAGCAAAAGTTTATGCATCCATCAGGAGTGGTTCGTTGGCCATTGTTGCGTCCACACTAGATTCGCTTCTCGATCTACTATCTGGTTTTATCCTGTGGTTTACTGCTTTTTCCATGCAGACGCCAAATCCTTATCGATATCCTATTGGAAAGAAACGTATGCAGCCTCTGGTTAGTTCCTTTTAACCTATTGATTCCAAAAATCATCTACGTACTCAGACACTTACAGCCATAACTATTTTCATCAGATTGCGCATTTTGACGATCATACGCTACTTACCTTTTGTTTTCATTCCTTAAAATAGGCTGTGAGAATCTATTTTCATTCATTTTAATGCACGTCTAGTAGTGTCTCCTTTTTTTAGAAATAAATATATGTTTTGCCTTTGTTTCTCAGGAAATATCTGCTATTATCTACACTGCATTTTTCAGTGACTTTGAACCTTCAGGGCATTAAACCATATCGTTCTCTTATTCTTTCACATTCATTCCTAAGACACGCAATTGAATTTTTACTTCACAAAGAAGAAAAGCTCAGGCTTACACTTTCCAAATAAATGATGTTAATTAAATCAAATCCAGCCCCTTCACAGGTCCATTTGAAATGGGACTAGTAATTATTTCTACTTGCAGCCTTGTGTTATATCTTTCATCGTTTCTTGATCCATGTTTGAAGCTGTTTTCAGTGTTGTGAGCCGATTGACAGGTGGAGTAAAATGAATGTTCAAATGGCTGTTTGTGTCTGTGACTTTGTTGTTTTATTGATCCTATTTTATTATAATCTTGAATGATCAGATTTGGAAATAACACATTTTTTAATATATGTTCTACGTCTTTGCAACCCTTGTCACATATTTTAGTGTGCATAATATTTATGGCCACTTACGACCTCATTTTCATAATATTTATCGCAAGACTTATGACCCCCGTTGCTAGAAATTGACAAAAACAATAGTGCCATAGCCACATGCCTAGAACACGTTTTTAAAGAAACATAATACGAAACAACTCACACAGGCGAAGAAAAATTAATGCAGTAACATAAACAACCATTAAGAGAGTCAGAAATCAAGCTGAAGCTGAACGGTTTCAGTCTGCCAGCCAGTTTTGGCAGGCCTCTTTGATGCTTCTCCTGTCATCCACCAGAATGGATTGTCATATGGCTTTACTTGCTATCCTTTCAATTTGGTAGTGCAAGCGGGGGAATATTACAGGTGGACAATGGACTATTGCAGTTTGGTATGTAACAGTGAATCAGTTTTTGCACCTCTTTAGGAGGTTTCATGGTTGCATAGATTGACCCAAACATACATAATTTTGGGATCATGTATGCCTAATTGAATGTATTAAGAAAATGCAGTTGTGGATCTCTTGGGACATCTGACATAACATCCAGGGAGATGCATTTAGGCTGGACGAGAGATGTCACATTCATGTAAAAAAATTTAACCCCTGTTTGGTTTTAAACTTACAAAACTATGTTTTGATTAGTGTTTTTTGGAGAATACGTGGTTAAAAAGTAGGAAAAAGTTTTGGATTTATGTGTAGAATATTTTATTGTATGAATGTGTAGTTGAAATTGAGTATGAAAAATAAATTAAATTAAATTAAAGGCCACCAAACAGGGGGCTTAATGGGTGGGAGTAAATATTACTTCCTGCGTGCTTGCAATGCATTGAAGTTCATTTATCTTTTGCAATACCAAGCATCAAATAAAGTCGTCCTCTATTTCGGCTGAATAATAATTTTTGCTAGATCAATTGTCAAAGGATAATCAGTTCTCTATATTGGTTCTTTAATAGCAACAGTAATTCATCTACCATGTACCTTTGCCTAAATATATTTCCCCGAATACTGCTAAATATTTTGTAATAATATAAAACTGCATTTTCTGTATATCAAGGTTTGGTTCTCTGTTTCTGTGGTTTGAAAGCAAATAAGAGCTGCAAATTATTTTTGTCGTTGGAATTACTGTATGTGTTATATTATTGTTTAATTGTAAGAAATCTACATTAAATAAATGATGTGTATATTGTGTAGGGAATCCTTGTTTTCGCTTCTGTCATGGCAACTTTAGGACTGCAGATTATACTGGAATCCCTGCGCACATTAGTTTCTGATGTAAGTGATCTCCACCTGAATCAATATGGTACTTAAGAGAATTGAGGAAGGGTGTTCCATGCTTCGGTTGCTTGGAGCTGAATCTGGGTTCTTTAAATACGGACTCTTCGTTTCTTGTCTCTTAAGCGTTTTATCTAAGAGCTTGTGCAGGATGACGAATTCAATTTGACAAAGGAGCAAGAGCGATGGGTGATTGGTATTATGCTTTCAGTGACTCTAGTGAAGCTACTTCTGTTCGTCTATTGCCGCACGTTTGCAAATGAGATTGTCAAGGCATATGCCCAGGATCACTTTTTTGATGTTATCACCAACATCATTGGCCTCGTTGCTGTAGTAATGGCTAAATATTTCAATGACTGGATGGACCCTGTTGGAGCTATTATTGTAAGTATTTAACTCTAATTTTTCTTTTGCGTGATTCCAGAAAATTTGGGTCATTGCCTTTTTCTTCTTTAATTTATATATTTGTGACGATATAATCTTACTACCTTCTCCAGCTGTCATTGTACACTATCCGAACATGGTCAATAACCGTGCTGGAGAACGTGAACTCCCTTATTGGAAGATCAGCTGCACCAGTATATCTACAGAAACTCACTTACCTATGCTGGAATCACCACGAATCCATAAGGCACATCGACACTGTAAGGGCATACACCTTTGGCTCTCACTATTTCGTCGAGGTGGATATTGTGTTGCCTGCAGATATGCCCCTGCAAGAAGCTCATGACATTGGAGAATCCTTGCAAGAGAAGCTCGAACTTCTGCCTGAGATAGAGCGTGCTTTTGTTCATCTTGATTACGAGTATACTCATAAACCCGAACATTCACAAGCACATCTGTAACTTGAAGGTAATATATTCTCTACCGCTACCATCAGTTATTCCTGCCACCTATAAGTTAAATCTGCTCAACTACGTCATCTGGACCTTTGTAGAATGACCAAATTAACTTATCAATGGTGCTCTAAGTAGACCACATGATGTCTGTATCAAAGGTTCTAGATTTTAAGGATGACAAGTCCTCGTTTTTGACAAAGAGAACAATATAGTGAAGACGGGGAATTGGCGTATACTAGTGTAAGTAAACTTTGCTATATGCTGGCAATATTTATTCATTGTATGTACTGTGAGTTGATTCAATGAAATCCTGCTAAATTATGAGCCCTTCTATTCAGGAAGTTACTTTTAGTTCTTTCCTTGTAGTTGTTTTCTACTTTTGTATGAGAATGGGAATTAATGTTCCTCTGTACACAGCCACAATTGAAAAATGTTGACTGAGATTGACTTGAAAATTATTCAAAATACTAAACCCCAATTTAAGATCGAGTTGGGCAAAGTTCATATGTCTCGACCAAAATGAGAAAAAAGGAAGTCACACATTTGAAACTACTCGATTGGGTTTTATGTTGTAGAATAGAATGACTTGTAAATCTAAGATGTGGACAAGAATGAAAGATCCAACTTACTATTCAAGTTCATTGTAGAAGAGAGAGACCACTCTACATATTGTCGTGTTCTTTAAAACGGACAATTGTATTGGAATAACTGCCTGACAAGTTTAAAACCAATTAGAAGGCTCAAGCTATACTTTTAGGAGGTTAATTCGACATAACATTGGTCGAGCATGACTGATTTGATTTTAGAGTAGAGTCGCTTTCGATCAATTCAATTGTTAATTTCAAATGAAAAAAAGATGGCTAAAATGAAATAAAAACGCTACTACACTACTATCTATCACCCTATTTGATCCACCGGAATTTACGTGGCGCGCAAGTTGAAAGATTTATAATTTTTGTGACATCAATGTTTAATGAGTATTCAATTAAGCCCAAATTTGATCTTGGATGGATTCCGCCCACGTGTCTTTTATCTACTCTAAAATATGAAAGATAAATAAAATGAAGAGAGAGAGAGAAATCCGATGCTCTTAAAACATATATCAAATCAAATGTATTGCTAATGGAGCTTCCAAATTGAGACGAAACTCTATAAAATGAATATTTTTTAGTGTCTGTCGATAGCATTGGAGATTGTTTTTGGACCATGTCTGTATAGTTACGTCGCAAATTCTTTAGAAGCACATTAGTAAGGAAGATGCTCTGATATAATACTCTCTTTTCTTTGTACAAGAGATGTTTGGGATTATATAAATAATTATAAATTATAGAACATACGAAATGTATGAATAATAAATAAATAGTAATTTTGAAAAGCAACCCATATACTTAACATGAGCCCACATCTGACTTTATGATCCTTTTCGTGATTTATTTTGTTTTTCCTTCTGATTATTCTCTCCCTCTGCGCCGCATCTGTCCATTATAACTTTAGTCCCTCAACTTAATATCAATATTAATTTTACCATTTTATTCTACTTTTCAAATTTGGGACATCCCAACACATTTTCTAATATTATAACGAAATTCCCAACCACACACGAAAGATATTTCAAACAAATTGGTCAATGCACGTTTCTCTCTCATTGATTCTAATGAACTTGGCCACATTAACGTCCAAATACAAGCTATGTGGTGGGATCAATTATTGTAAATATAATTTTCGGTGCAAAATTCACTAAAATCGATAAGAGTGGAAAAAAAAAGAAAAGGGCTATGTGGAAGTTGGGTGTTTGGGGAGTACGACCATCTAATATCGAAGATACGTTTTAACTTTGTAATCTTCTTTACTTGTGTACCTAATATCAATTTTTTCTTCAACTCGAGCTTTCAAAATAAATTTAGCTCCCATTTGATATAGATTAAGGTCTGTTTGGGTCAAATTTTAATTTTATTTTAATCTAAATCAAAGTCAAACAATCAATATCAACCATATCTTTTATGGGTCTCACATCTTTTCAACCACACATTTAAAAAATTTCTATCATAATTCACTTAAAATCTGATTTTAATTTACATCAAACACACTCTAAAATCAAAAGTTGATGGAACGAGTGGCTGAAAATCGTGAATTCTATAAAATGTGTTATTAAAATTAATTATTGATTTTGACTTATATTTTAATTAATTTTTTTAGCGATGGGGTTAACTTACTTTAACATTTATTAATACTTATTTATATGATTTGTTATTTTGGGTATTGGATTCGCCTCTGCGGGATCCCAACTTTATTTCTACGGAACCAATTCTGCAGCCCCCCACTTGTCCTTAGACGGAGCGTGAGCCTCAAATCTCAGCACGCACGCCCGACCGCCGCGTTTCAAGGCGGCTGAGGCCAAATTTCTTCTTCTCAAACTGCATGGAGAACACTTACGCTTCTCCTAGTTCCGGTGAACTCAATAGGTTCAATTTGATGTCTGGAACAACGACCCGACCCGTCAAAATCATTCCTTTACAGCATCCTTCCACCAGCACCGCAACGACGCCGTCTTCATCTTCGTTTTCTGGAGTTTTGACCAGATGGATTGCGAAGGTGAAGCAGATGACGTGGATGGAATGGATTGAATTTTTCTTGCCATGCTACCGTTGGATTAGAACCTACAGATGGCGTGAGTATTTACAGCCGGATCTTATGGCCGGGATCACCGTCGGCGTCATGCTTGTTCCTCAGGTATGTATACATGTGTTCATGTATATACGCATCTAATATGCATAAATAATTGGATTTTTGTATCCAACTTTCCATGTATAACATTGTTGCTTTTCATGTGCCAATCAGTCCATGTCTTACGCAAAGCTAGCTGGGCTTCAACCAATATACGGACTTTGTGAGTTTTGCCTCCTTATTGTTCTCTTTGTACACGTTTGTTAAGCAGTATCAGTATTAGATGGCTGGGCAGTTCCATTGGTAAAATTTAAACTTTTTTCCCTTATTTAGCGCTTTGAGGTTCCATCTAATCTACCTTACCAAATGAGTCATAATGCACTGTGATGATTTTATCTCGAATATATGCTTACGATGTTTTTAAGTTAGTCTTACACGATTCTTTTCCTTCAATGCTTATAATAAATGATCGGTCATTTACTCTATTGATTATGGACATAGAAGCCTCATGAATTGCGACTTCCTTATTTGGATTTTACAATGCAGATTCTGGTTTTGTTCCTATATTTGTGTATGCTTTATTTGGCTCATCTCGCCAGCTTGCAATCGGTCCTGTGGCGTTGACTTCCCTTCTGGTCTCTAATGTCTTGGGCAGCATAGTTGACTCATCAGAGGCATTGTACACAGAGCTTGCAATATTGTTGGCACTAATGGTTGGCGTTTTTGAATGCATAATGGGGATTTTAAGGTGTTTTTCGCTCAAATTCGCATGTTCTGTAGCATGTTGAAATTTTACCATTCAATGTGAAGGGAATCAAATGTTTAATGTACATTTTATACGATTTAATTATATTTATACTTGAATGCTGAGACAGTTCATTCAATACAAAGATGTCTGATTCAGTCATTTATAAAATGTATCTAGATAATCAGGACAAATATGAGAACAGTGAAATTCAGCTGTCTTTGAAATACTGAACTTGGATTTTGGCTTCCTGGGGTAAAATTCACAACCCGTTGCAAACAATTGTTTAGAACAAATACTGATCCTTTTATAAGTCAGTCAGTCAGTCACTAGAGGTAGAATAGTCTGATTTCCTAGTGAAGGAATCCCTTTTGAAAATCTCCCTCCCAATGTCCCTAGGCGTTAAAACTTATAAACAACCCTTGTGATATCACTGAATGGAAGTCTTAGGGCATGAATAGATGGCCATGGAAATAAATTTGGCAAAAACCTGATATCATTAATTGTTTGCACCCACGTGAGATTCTGAATTTTTTATGTCCTAACTTTCGCTCACCAGATTATTATTTGAATAAAGCTCTTACATTGTATTGTTTCCCATCTAGGCTTGGATGGCTTATTCGGTTCATCAGCCATTCTGTGATTTCTGGTTTTACCACTGCTTCAGCCATTGTAATTGCCTTGTCTCAGGCAAAATATTTCTTGGGATATGATATAACCCGAAGTAGCAAAATTATTCCACTGGTCAAAAGCATAGTTTCAGGAGCAGATAAGGTACATGGTGTATTCCAATGAAGTAAATGCTTTTTGAAAATTACTTTGTCCGTTTCCTGCATTACCTCGTAATGTTGCAACAGCTTGATTATTTATTCAATTGAGGGTTTCTGATGTGTACTTTTGTCTTCCTCAATAAATTAAATTCACTTGATCTATTGCACGTTACTTATCTGTATGAAGATTCTTCTATTTTATGAGATATTCAAATGATTGTCCCGTCGAATTACTAGATCTGCATCTTCATCGCTATTATGCTTGTATGCCTATGTCATACCATGTCTGTCCATATGATGTTGATGAGAAATATTTAATGTCACCATCCCAATTATGTATTGACAGAAAGAGGACTCAACTAATACAGACAAGCAAAATTTAACTTATGAGACAGCATAAATACCTGCATTTTCCGAAGAACAAAGTGACAGCACAAATGACCAAGCCAATTTGTCTAACTTGCTTCAAATTTATTTTACAGTATATTTTTAATTGATAGCACCATACATACATTCAAACTTCATAGTTAACAGAGATTAGTCTGAGGTGGCTCTATTTTATACAACATTGGTGGAATTTTATCCTACTCCTTTACAATGTGAAACAATACAAGATGAAATTTATATAAATATGATTTCTTGTAATTTTCATAAGTGAAGTGAAATCTATATTCTTCTTCAGGTTTCTGTACATAGATATTGTCCTTGGGTCCATTGTTCCTTTATACATTCATCTGTTCGTTTTTCTCTCTCTGTTTCTAAATTTAAGTGACTTCTGATGTTCTAATCACCGTTTGTCTTTTCTTTTGTAGTTTTTGTGGCCTCCTTTTGTTATGGGCTCTATTATACTTGCTATTATTCTAACAATGAAGCACCTGGTATGTGCTCAGTTGGCTATTGATTTAGTATGCATTTTTCGTTTTTATACCTCTTTAAATTGTACATGCTTTGGTTGGTTCTGGTCACAGGGAAAATCAAAGAAATATTTGCGTTTTCTGCGAGCAGCTGGTCCCCTTACTGCCGTTGTTTTGGGTACAACCTTTGTGACAATTTATCATCCATCTTCAATTACATTGGTGAGAATAACATGGATTGATAAACAGCGAATGTAGCACCGTGTAGAGTAATTTATTATTATCCTGAATTGTTCAGCACTGAGTATCTGAATATGGCACAACTATAGTCAGCACTTAACGAATTTTCAACTGCTGTTTTAGGTTGGAGAAATACCTCAAGGGCTTCCTAAATTTTCCGTCCCTAAGGAATTTGGGCACATAAAATCTTTAATTCCAACAGCGATGCTCATTACTGGTGTGGCAATTTTGGTGAGAGAAAATTTATTCATTTTCTTTTTCTTTTTTTGTGTAGAACATTTTACTTAAATCACATACTTCTCAAATATAGGAATCTGTAGGAATTGCCAAAGCACTGGCAGCAAAGAATGGATATGAGTTGGATTCAAATCGAGAGGTTCGTTTTCCAAAGAGAAATTTCGATAACTACGATAATTGCATTTATGTGTACTCCTGTCAAGTATCAGCTCAACATGAAACCATCATTTGGTTATCCTAGACCTTATATTTAATTCATAGTAGCCTGCATTTAACATTTGCAATTCCATTGGTACAATATGGGATGTGTAAACATCCCCTTAATGTTATATTTGATAAGCTATTGTGTAGATTTTCTTTAGTCAATTCTACGATCATGATATAAACAGCCAGTTAGTTGCATGACGTAAAAAGCTTAGAACATTGCAATATGGTGCTTTATTTCTTGGTACTCATATACAAATTGTGCTAAATTTGGAGAAGGAGAACTATATATTGGTTCACTATGTTATAGACTTGTTTGTCTTCTAACAGTTGTTTGGCCTTGGTGTGGCAAATATTTTTGGATCATTCTTTTCAGTATACCCTACAACAGGTTAGTTTTTAGTTGCAAACCAACGGTTTACTTTATGATTTCTCTTATGACATCATCAAACGGATACATGTAAGTTGGTTATGACGTTAGCAAATGATACCGTTACTTCCAGAGTTCCAGTGCCAGCTTCTAACATGTCTTCTTTTTTGTAATAATAATGACTTATGCAGGATCATTCTCTAGGTCTGCTGTGAATCATGAGAGTGGAGCTAAAACTGGTTTATCTGGGATTATAATGGGAATTATAATGGGCTGTGCACTACAGTTCCTGACTCCATTATTTGAATACATTCCCCAGGTTAATATGTGCCCATGCTGTTCATTGTGCTAGTGTTATCTTCTTTGGAGTTTACAATTGCTAAACTGGTGCCATAACTCTATATTTTTAGCAAATTAGACAATTTTGACGTTCCCTATTTTTATTCTGGGCTTCTGTGAGAATTATTTTTCCCAAGTTTTCTGTTCCTCCATTTACATTTTTCAATTATGCTGGCAACATTAACAGAAATTATGGCTTGCTAATTTGTGATGACAGCTCGTAGTTGTAGCTAGAGCTCTATTTCTTTCTTATATTGATGTTTTACTGGTTTTGCTGTTTATTGTGATAATAAGATATTTTCTGATCCTCACTTCGTAGTAATGAATTTTTACACCTTCAACATGTATCATTTTTTCAGTGTGCTCTGGCTGCCATTGTGATTTCTGCTGTAATTGGATTGGTAAGTATATTTCAGTACATGACTAAGATTTTTTGACTGTGTACCATTTAATTTATCTTCTAGATGTTAGCATAGGGTCTGTGAGCAGGCTGGGGTGGGGAGAGATCGTTGCCCAATTCTCTGCAGGGTGTATTTGAAAATTTTATAACTGTTGTTCTCTTCTTTATGACTAAAGCATAATATCATGTCGTGGATGCTAATTTGCTATTTTATTTTGCAAAATGAATGAGACTTGAGTTATTTCTTTGGCCCATCTTTTCATGTACCACATACATGCAATGTAAGTATGTACCATCGAATTGGATTAAAATTTTATCCAAGTTTTGACATCCATGGTTCTTTTTGATTCTATGAAGTGGTTCATATTTTAGGGAAGCAAACAAAGGGATCTGCGTGATATAATAACAGTAATGCCATATACTGATAGTCATGCGAATTTTTTCATAGATTAGAGATGATTCACTGATTGTTTAAGATTGTCACCTAGCAATGTTATCAATTCATTATTGATGGTGAAGATGCACCCTTTTCAAAATTGTGAAGTTTCAAAAAATCTCTTCTCATTTAACCTTTAGTTTAGATGCCATTTCAATGTTCACCGGTCACATTCCAATTAATTTGTGGAATTTGAAATAACTTTTGACATATTGCCTATATTTAACTGCCGGAAATATTTATTTTTTGGGAGTTCAAATTGAATACTTTAATGTCCTAAAAGTACCTTTTCATGGGGCAAGAAATATTAAGGCTTTTAATTGTGATTTGGTGGGGAGTGGGGTGGTGGTGGTGGGGAATCTCCTAGTTAATTGTGTGCATAAACAAGAGTATATTTTGATACTTCATTATTTCAGGTGGATTATGAGGAGGCTACTTTTCTGTGGCGTGTGGATAAGAGGGATTTTCTCCTCTGGACCATCACTTGCGCTACGACATTGTTCCTTGGCATAGAGATTGGTGTACTTATTGGAGTAAGTATAAAAGCATTGTTTTGGATGATTATTCATGGAATTTTATTTGAAATGCTCGTAGACCTGAATGCATATTAAGTCCCCGTTTGAAGGCCATTATTTTGGAAAAATGATGTTTTGAATAGTTATTTTTTGGAGATTGAGTAGTTAAAAAATAGTAGAACTTTTACGTGCAAAATATTTTATTGCGTAAACATGTGATTGAAAATGAGTACGAGAATTAGTTTTGTTTTAAAGGGAGACAAACAGGGGCTCAACTTTGTAGCCTCTTCTATATATATATAATATATATATGCGAGCATATAATTGTTCCCTTAAGGCTTAAATCAATTGGGTATTTCCTTGTTGGTGTTTGTGTTATGGATTTTGATTTAAATATCGCATAAGATTTCATTTTAGATATGAAATATATGAAAGTTCAGGCTGAAGCTATTTTGCAATTTTGACTACGCGACAGCATCCACTATCTCGCCAGCATTTGGCATGAAAGTTCAAGATCTTTCTTTCACATTTGCTTTATAGTTTCACACACACACACACACACACACACACATATCAGAAGATATTGGCGTCCTGCATGTTCTTCTATAAGTTCACCCACAAAAGACCTAGAAGACAAATTTCACGAAGACAACTGTATTCACAAAAATCAGAAGAAGCTACCATAAGTAGTGTTTAAGAAGGTAAAGTTAGGGACTACCTCCAGCCTTGCCCCGTGCCTGGGAATGTGAAATTCCTAGCACATGCCTCACCTTTTAAATTCTGATCACAAGTAATAACTCTTAACACATTTTTTTTTTTAATTTAATAGTTTGCTTGACCAGGATTATTTGGTATCTGGTTTCTCCAGCTTTCATCTGCCTGTAGATTTTCTTCAAAAATAGATGGGAGTTTTAAGTAATCATGTAAGCAATGCCCCATAAAGTACAAAGGTCAAGCAACTTGGGAATATTCTCAAACACGCACACACACACACACGTGTGTGTGTATATATATATAGATATATCAACCGTGCTACATTACTAGAAAAGTTTAACATCTTCCTTGACACAATGCCACATGACATTCTATCATTGGACTGTTTTAAAAACAATCAACTTTTACATTTAATCATTTCTTGCCACCAATAAATCTGTTAACTAGGATATCAACATTTTTTGTCCAAGTAGCTTAATTCATATTTTTTTGGAGTGAGCAGAGTACTTGGACATGCACAATCTCTTTCGCTACTATAAAATTTGCAAGACTAGCTTAGTTGTGGTCGAAATCACTCTGTTAGTATTTTTCAAGGAATTAAGTTAAGCTTATTGCTTCTGTGATTTTTCGGTGTACTAGTCCGTCGCTGTCAATTGCAACAATATTCTCTCAAATAAGTTTAATGTTTTATTGTCCTTTATATATGTGTGTGGATATCTTCATCGTATTCATATACTTGTTGCTTTCACTAATTTCAAACTATATTTTGTCCAGTCTTTGTGTATTATCTTTAATAATTTAAAATTTTAGCAGGATATTCACTTGAACGTTCTGTAGAATTTAGCACGTCACAAAAAAATTATCTATACCATCATCTGCAGCTTAATTTCTTTTAAAATGCTGGATTATGCCAATCTTAACAATTGCCCTTTTTTCTTTCTGTTTTGCTGGCTTTAAGGTTGGTGTTTCACTTGCTTTTGTCATCCATGAATCTGCAAACCCTCATATTGGTGAGTCTAGTTTTAATCTTTGAATTATTGATTATATAATGTTATTCAAATTAAGGCCAAAATGTTGTTAGTTATCACTTTCTGAAAATAATTTATTACTTGCTTCCGTTCAGGATTTTTGAGGCCTTGTCTATTCATTATATCTGTAATCATGGCAGTACTTGCTGTCATTATAATTGTAGTCTCGTTGATGTAGAATGGGGAGAGGACAGAAAAAGGGAGACAAGAATTTAGAGACAAATAATTCAATATCATGCAATATATCAATAATCAACAATCTACATAAATGAAAATCCTATTCCTATTCATTCTTAAAATCTGTAAATAGAGAAAGTTACCTGCTCAGCAAAAATGGAAATTTTCCTAATTTTAACCTAATAATTGTAGAAAGAAAGAAATAAATCAAAATAAAATATCTTCAATGAAATGAATCCTACATTATTTCTTAGTCTTTAGCTTAAAGTATGTGTGTACTTTTGACATGTTTCTGATGCAAATTTTCATCACATGCTCCATCACGCATCCTATGCAATTTGTTTCAATATTTTGGTTTCTAAGCTATGGTCTGTTTTGCAGCTGTCCTGGGTCGACTTCCTGGAACCACTGTCTACAGAAACATTCAGCAGTATCCAGAAGCATATACATACAATGGGATAGTGATTGTTCGAATTGATGCGCCAATATATTTTGCAAACATAAATTACATCAAAGACAGGTTACAACTAGTGTTTCCTCAAAGATAGAAAATTGTATGCACCTCTCGTTTAGTTTCTTATTTGCAAATAAATATTCATGTCAATTAACTTTCCCAGGCTGCGGGAATATGAAATTGACGAAGATGGATCTACAAAACGTGGACCTGAAGTTACAAGAGTTCATTTTGTAATTATTGAAATGGCTCGTGAGTCACCACCTAAAACTTTTATCTACTATGTATTTTATGCATATACTTTATTTTTCTTGGTTCTTCTAGAATGTGTAAGACTCAGGTTCTCTAATTTCTTGCATCGATTAGCTCTATTTTCAATAAACTTGGCATCAATTACACGTATCATTTTTTGCATTCCCATTTGGTTGAGTGTGACATTGACAAAAATGTCTTATGTGTTTAACTCTCTCTCTTTCTTCTACCATAACTACTGTGATAAAATCTCTCTTATGAATGAAAGCTTCCTTAGGTCGATGCAAGACATGTCCTAGCCATCTAAGTCATTTTTTCCTTGTTTATTTTTTTTTCGTCCATTCTAGGATGATCATGCATCCATCTCTACATCCTCATTTTTGGTACATTTATCCTAGGAACATTTTGTTTTCTAAGACTTGACACTCATTACCATGAGACATAGCAGTCTAAGAACTGTTTTATAGAATTTACCTATTTGTCAGGTATTTTCTGCTCACATAGAATCTCTTTAGCACCATTTCGTTTGGTACTCTTTAGCACTTGTCCATATCATTTGGTCTTCTCTAATTTTATGAATCACACTTGTTAATAACAGAACGTACATACCTGAACAATTGTTCTTTGAGACAATGTTTATCATTCATATTGCATATTAAACTAGGTAAAATTGTGTATGAATAGGCCGCAAGTCAATTCTGTCATTTTTTAGTCTATTATACAATGTTTTCATCTGTTTCAGCGGTCACATATATAGACTCTAGTGCCATTCAAGCATTGAAAGACCTCCATCAAGAATACAAGTCGAGAGACATTCAGGTACTAGAGTAGAATTTTCAATTTACACTTGCTATAATCTGCAAAACTCTTATGCTCACAACTTGTATTCAATTACAGATTGCCATTTCCAATCCAAATCGAGAAGTTCTACTGACCTTAGCAAGAGCAGGCGTAATCGATCTCATTGGAAAAGATTGGTATTTTGTTAGAATACATGATGCTGTTCAAGTTTGCCTGCAGCATGTCCAGAGCTTAAACGAGTCTCCTAAGAAATCAGAACGCTTTCTGGAGAATAATAGACCTGGCCGTCTCCAGAATTTATTGAAACAGAGAACGGAAGACTACTCTATCTCTCAATTGGAGTCAGGTTACCCACAAAACTTCACCTTGGGTGATGATAACACTCATTTAGAGCCACTATTGTCAAGGAAGTCTTGAGAATAAGTGTTTACAAATAGTTGCAATATTTATGGCATTATTTTATGAGGCTTTGCTGTCTATGTAAAATTGTATATCCATTTCTTGATCCCTCACTTGTGGTTTGATTTTGCTGGAAGTATCAACCATAAAAAATAAGGGAATTTTTTTTTTTGATTTCTTGTAAGTAGGTTAATTGATTTGTATAATATATATTGCAATTGATTGTAAGATTTATTTGGTGATTTGTTTCATTATCTCTGTAGATGCTTAATTTTTCCTTTAATAATTTGCTTGAGAATATTTCCTTGTGAAATGGAGTACAATACGGTACAATAAGCCACAATCTATAAATCCCTTCCTCCACATCAAATAACATAAAACTACGATCAATTTGATCATATGATTCAGCGCATTAAAATAGAAGCGCGCAAAAATGGATTCACATATTCTTTAAAGTTCATTTTCAATTACATTCTCTAATGAAATAAACGTACATGTAAATCGATAATATTTTTTTATTTTTTATTTACATATTCTTCAAAAAATAAATTTTCGCCATATCCATTTTCAAAAAAATAAAAAAAATAATAATAAAAAAAGAGCTTACGAATATGTATAGCAATTATGCTATATGTACATTATTTTTTATATTAATTTTAACGATGTGCCACGTGGCGACATATGAACAATTTTAAAAAAAAACACACTTTCTTGTCCACAACTTTTTAAACTCCAATGGGATGTATACAATAATTTCCTGGTCTGAATTTTGCAAACACACTTTGTAACTCAACTTTATACAAATAGCTTTATTGTTAAAAAATTGCACTTATTTTTTATTTTATTTCTTGATTCCAGTTACCGAAAGTTGTACCGTTGATAATCAATTGCCCCAATTGCAAGTTGGTTCCAACAACACATTATAGTTGCTCAATTTGTTATGGAAACTATCCAAATCTTTCCTAAATTGTCGCGCGTTCCTCTGGAATATAAACCTCGACTAAAAATTTTAGGCACCAAGCAAAACCTAACTTCAATACAAATGAAATGCGTAAGTTACTTGATGATTTAACCCAAATTTGAATAGCTTTTGTCAATATAGACTAATTGTGCAATTATAATGAAAGATTTTAATAATGATACGTTAATTGTTGGTAAAATATTTCCTCAAAATTTGCCGAAAGAAAAAAGGATATTACTTTCAAAGAAAATGAAATATTGTGGGTGATAAAAGGTAAGGACAAGAATTATCCTCGCATTTTCTAGATTGAAGCGAAAGTTGACAACTTTGGAATGGTCTTGTGGATGTGACTTAAGGATTTTGAAACGAAAAATCCTAAGCTCAGTATCTTCGTTTTTTCTTGTTCTCTTTGTAGGTTGTTCAAAGAGTAAAAATTGGTGGACATAATTAAGTTTAGCTGTTCAGGATATTAATTTTTATACGTGTAGGAGATATTACACCGATAATGTGCATATTATATTCATCAAGAGCATGCCGTTAATATGCGTGAAATCGAAATATCATTCGACTTACCGAAATCTGATTTGAGAAGATAAAATAGCGATTTTCTGACTTCTAATATAATAAAAAAAGAGCTTACGAATATGTATAGCAATTATGATATATGTACATTATTTTTTATATTAATTTTAACGATGTGCCACGTGGCGACATATGAACAATTTTAAGGAAAACACACACTTTCTTGTCCACAACTTTTTAAACTCCAATGGGATGTATACAATAATTTTCTGGTCTGAATTTTGCTAACACACTTTGTAACTCAACTTTATACAAATAGCTTTATTGTTAAAAAATTGCACTTATTTTTTATTTTATTTCTTGATTCCAGTTACCGAAAGTTGTACCATTGATAATCAATTGTCCCAATTGCAAGTTGGTTCCAACAACACATTATAGTTGCTCAATTTGTTATGGAAACTATCCAAATCTTTCCTCAATTGTCGCGTGTTCCTCTGGAATATAAACCTCGACTAAAAATTTTAGGCACCAAGCAAAACCTAACTTCAATACAAATGAAATGCGTAAGTTACTTGATGATTTAACCCAAATTTGAATAGCTTTTGTCAGTATAGACTAATTGTGCAATTATAATGAAAGATTTTAATAATAATACGTTAATTGTTGGTAAAATATCTCCTCAAAACTTGCCGAAAGAAAAAAGGATATTACTTTCAAAGAAAATGAAATATTGTGGGTGATAAAAGGTAAGGACAAGAATTATCCCCGCATTTTCTAGATTGAAGCGAAAGTTGACAACTTTGGAATGGTCTTGTGGATGTGACTTAAGGATTTTGAAACGAAAAATCCTAAGCTCAGCATCGTCGTTTTTTCTTGTTCTCTTGTAGGTTGTTCAAAGAGTAAAAATTGGTGGACATAATTAAGTTTAGCAGTTTAGGATATTACTTTTTATACGATACTCGGAGTTGGGGAATTGGTGGACATAATTAAAAATTCTATATGACTACAAATTTTCATATGTAGAGCTTTGACATTCCCTAATTTTTCTTCTTTTACAAATCTTCTCATTATTTTTCTCTAGACAAGAATTATGTGGGCAAATTTAAAGGAAAGAATAATTCATATGTATAAATGGAATGATCCCGATGTAGCATGTAATGTGCGATGAAATGATAAGTCCAATCTTATCAATTTAATGCCACCTAACATGGAGATTATTCCACTTTATACATATAGCATTACTCCTAAGTCCTCAAGGAATTGGTCTCAATTTTCAACAAGTACTGCAATTGATTTGATGAACCAATTATGCAATGCTCCCTTTAATTTACAGTTAAACTATCTTAGGTACGATTTTAATACTAGGGCGACAACATTTTCATCATTGGTACGTACGTTGAATTGACCAAGATTTGGATGTTTTATTGGTAGAATTTCGATACAAAAGGCCACTACATATATATTTATTGGCACGTTGAATTGACGAGTGCTTGGTATATTATTTCAAGATTACTACTATTGTTCCATCATTGTCGCTACTTTGAATTTAATGAGTGTTTGATGTGTTAATGCATTATTACTACATTTATTTCATCAATTAATAACTAGAATTTAAGGAGAGACATCCCTCTTATCAAAAATGGTAAAGACTCCAAAGATAAACGAGTAAAGCCACTTTGCCCGAATTTGGTGCCACCTCGGTTGACCGATCCTCACATTGCACCGTGGGTCCCGTGTGAATTAAATAATGCCGACTCCCGTGTGTGTGTTTGGTCAACCAAGATGTTCGTGTAGCATTACTAGATATAAACATCAACCCTAATCTATCTGAAAAGTGCTTGCTTTGTCCTTTGAACAGCTTCTGTTTTTGGAAAATTTTGAAGATTCTGTTTCTGTGTACAATTTAATCAGTCGAGGTAAAGAAATTTCTTATTGATCACTACTATATTTCTGACCAATCTTTATCTGACATGTGGTCAAGGTGAATCCAAATCTAGCTCGCCACTGGCCACTGGAGTTGTTGACATGGCAATGAAGTATATGATATGAGGTTGCTGTTACATGCTTCTATATTTCCTTGTCTCGTTGCATTCGACTATCTTATCCAAAAAATTAAACTATCGAAGAGGTCGAGAATTTTACTTCATTCAACTATGCAACAGATCATGAGGTGCACATGCTCCCTCTGTTTCTGATAACATTGTACATGATATATATGGTTGGCACATAGTGAATTTTTAATGCACTTGTAGATCATTCAAGATCCACAAATCTCTTACTACCATATCCTCTTATTCATCCTTCGGGTTATGCTTTGGAAAACCCAACAAGGATCAAGTGCATGCTATCACAATGCACCCAAGAAGGAATCTATTTTAGTTCAGATGAGGATATAATTATCTGGTGAAATATCTTGAATACTACAAGATTTCTGTTTTGTTTGAATGTATTGCCTTGCTACTTTTTATGTCTCAAACAGGTTCTTTCACTTTGGACAGTGCAAGTTGTCAATGAGTTGCTATGATCAGAAAGAAGCTAAAGGACAAGCCTGTGAAGAATAAGTAGAATGAATAAGACATATTATTTTGCATCTACTCCAGGACTCTTTAAGATCACAAATTATTGGTCAATTAACATGGAAAATCCAACAAAAGAACTATTTTATGCTGGATACCTTGTTAGTAGTCATGAAAAATATTCTAAGCATCGTATAAAATGTTAATAAGAGAAATATCGAAATTTCCGGGAAAAGAAGCTACGCTGAGGCAGATTATTACATCTCCATCTTCTTTAAACCGTTGTGAAAACCCCAATTTAATTAGTGCAGTGAGATATATGTTGTAACTAGCTATGAGGCATGTGATTGGTATTGTAATATGAGCAAGGCATGCAATTGACAGTTGAACGACATAAAGATGGGTGGAATGATTGAGAGAAACACAGGAGGCCAAAATAGCAGTGGTAATATCCTATAATTCGGCTCTTTCTAAAGAGAGAGAGAGAGAGGGAAAGGGACGGAAAGTAACATGCAAGGACCAATTCAATGCAAGAGAAGACAGTGAACTTGAGCAAAGTGTGGAAAAACTGGCTTTTCATTTATTTCTGTGGGGGTGAGTGGAGGGGTGCTTTATTTTTCTATCATGCAAACCAAGCAGTGCGTGCCAAACAACAATATTCCGGGACCGTCTTATATGCAACCAAAAATACTCTTAAAGAGAAATAGTTCAAGTGCGAAACCATCTAGAGATTGTTAAAATATGCTTGATTAGGCGATCCTACACATTAAAAGCAATCCAGCTTGTGATGGAGTGTGCGGTGGATTGGCCTCCTCTGCAGTAGGGTTATGCTGCTAGTCTTGCTGAGACCGAACCGCCTCAAAAATGGACCGTACCAGCCTGCTTTACACCTCTAATCTACTGAAATGACATTCACAAAGTGATCTTCATTACCTTATGGTGGAATATTGGCACTATAGTGTATTTAGCTTGTCTGGTTGTAGAGTATAAGAGTCTAAAATTGTGGGCCCAAT